ATGGATGGATGGATGGATGGATGGATGGATGGATGGATGGATGGATGGATGGATGGATGGATGGACGGACGGACGGACGGACGGACGGACGGACGGATAGACAGATGGGTTGATGGATGGACGTGAAACCCCAGCAGTCGATCCCATCAATAACTCGTCAGGACAACATCTTGCGACAGGTGGCAGCAGCGTCTGTCACCCGTCAACCTCCGTGATGGGCATTGCGACGTTCGTTGTTTGTAAACACACCGGACCGCGGCGGACCGCGGCATCTCCCTGCGTTCAGCATGCGTGCGGATGTAATGATTTCAACAGCAGGGCTTTGAACCAGCATCTCTCTATATAGCTCTCAGCTGGCCAATCTAACACGTCGCCCGTGGGTCAGTGCTACGGCTAGCCTGTATACTCGCTCTTACTTGCAAGCCTTCACCACATACTACACCGACCACTACTTCCGACTTCCCTCAAAGTATAACAACACAGTACAGGGACGCAGGTCTCTGCACGAATAGCGCGCACGACATAGAGAGAGGGGGGGTGAGACGCAGGTCTCTGCACGAATAGCGCGCACGACATAGAGAGAGGGGGGTGAGATATGCTAGAGATATCGCGTTAGAACACGATGCCAAGTTTGGCAGTACGGACAACAAATATCTTCCACAGCTTTACAATATTTACCGCCTGTTACGTCATGTAGCGTCTGCTGTGTTGTACGACCGCACAGCGTTTTCACATAACCATAAATCAACGGTCGTACGTACAATAAAAATACGGCGTGTGGTAATATTTACGACATCCCGCCGCTATCCCTGTGTTATCTCTGCCGTGTTTTACACTGTTTTTAACACCGTTAAAACATTCTCCCCCCCCCCGTCCGACTCCCTCCCCCCCTCTCTCTCTCTCTCGCCTGCTGCGCGTGCGATGCTGCCATGGCAACGCTACTAATTGTGTTGGTCCACGTGACATCTTCCCACCCACGCACGGCGTCTGATTACAATCAGTTCCCGAGCTTGAAGCGCGTTAAAATGAACTAGCTTTCTTGCTTCAACCGTGTGATAACGCTAGGTCTCTCTCGGCGCTCAACATCAGCGAATCTCTCATCGCTGGACACAGACCGGAGGTCGCGCAGTTGTTACCCGGATCTAGTGACACGCAGCGCCCCCTGCTGGCCGTCTAGCTAAAAACATGACCTCCTAGTTATACGTCACGTCCGTGACACACGTCTGACCTCGTGACATTGCTGGCTCGTCCATCGTCGTCGTCAGTACGTTGTTCTGGACTGCTGCTGCTGGACAATCGTTCGCATTACTGACCACAGGTGGCGCCCTCATCGACCGTAATGAATCTCTTCGTTGATGAATTTCTGAAAGAAAACAGACGCCACTGTTAAAAAAATGTCAAAGTTTAAACGTTATAAGCGCATGTTGAACGATTGCGGTGTCTTGTCATTAGCCCCCTTTACTTCCCTCTGCTTCCTACAGAATCTGATACACATGTATGAACGCTATATAGCGGGACCATGCGTGCAGTCAACACCACCGCCCTGCATGCAAGGAAGCACTATGTGATCTATAGCAGGCCCGTAGCCAAGGGGGGTTCGGGGGGTTCGAACGAACCCCCCCCCCCCCCAATATAAAGCTGGCTACGGGCCTGTATAGCACATACCATGCAGGGAAGCACTTAACTCTAAAGCACATAACCCGTGTCGACCGCACATCGCACCACGTGACACGCGCCGCCGGCGACAAGCGATATAGTGTTAAAGCGCTCGAGCACGTGTTCCTAATTCCACCGGTTCTCAATCAGTCGCTATATATAGCGCCGCTGAGAGATAAAAAATGGTCGACATGGCGCGTGTGTTTATACGCAGATGCTTGTTTTCCTGCAGAATTCATTTAGATCGCGATGCTAAACCTTTAACCGTCTCCACACGTGATAGAGAGCTAGGTGAACGCACGCACGCGCGCACGCACGCACACACGCACACGTTCACGCACGAGCACATGTATAAGCATATGTTTATTTATACATAATTCGGGAGTGCAGTTTTTTTGCGACAGACACGCGTCACTGCCACCGTTTGCCGCACAGCCTCCCGCTCCCGCTCCAGTATCCCATCGTCTAATAGTCGTCTGACCTATAGAGGCTTGTGTTGCCTCAAGGAGAGATGGAGTGGGGGAGAGAGGGAAGGGGGAGGAAGAAAAGGAAGAGCGGTAAAGAACGCGCGCGCGCCAGAGAGAGAGAGAGAGAGAGAGAGAGTGCCCGAGATTGAGGGGGGAGAGAGAATGTGAGAGAGTAAGTGAGAGTGAGTGAGAAAGAGCGAGAGAGAGAGAGAGAAAGCAAAGAAAAAAAAGACGAGAGAGAGAGAGAGAGAGAGCGCGCGCAAGAAGAACAAGAAAGAGAGAGAGTGAGAGAGAGTGAGAGATAGAGAGAAAGAGAGAACGAGAGAGAGATTGAGAGAGAGAGAGAGAGAGAGAGAGAGAGAGAGAGAGACAGAGAG